GGCAAGCTGATCTTGTTGAAATGCAACCTTATGCGAGAGAAAATAAAGGTTACAAGTACCTGTTAACCGTCATTGATACATTTTCAAAGTTTGCCTGGGCTGTTCAAGTAAAGTCCAAAAAAGGTGATAATGTGACTGCGTCAATGAAATCTATTTTAATTAGAAAACGCATACCGAAAAATTAGCAAGTAGATAAAGGAAAAGAATTTTATAATTCACATTTTGAAAATCTTATTAAAAATTATAACATTAATTTGTATTCTACTCATAGTAATTTAAAAGCGTCAATTTGTGAACGATTTAATCGTACTTTGAAGAATAAAATGTGGATGCAATTTAGTTTACGCGGTAATTACAAATGGATAGATATATTAAGTGATTAAGTAAATGCGTATAATAATAGTAAACATCGAACAATAAAAATGAAACCAATAGATGTAAATGCTGAAAATGAAAATAATTTGTTGTTAAATGTATTTAAAAAAGTTTTAGTAAACAGGCAATATAATAAGAAATTTAAAGTTGGAGATAGAGTACGTATAAGTAAAGTTAAACATGTTTTTGAGAAAGGTTATACACCAAATTGGACTACAGAAATATTTACTATAAGCGATGTAAAAAATACTAATCCAATGACATATATCTTGAAGGATTATCAGAAAAATCCAATAAGTGGATGTTTTTACGAGCAAGAACTTTCTGAAGTTAAATATCCAGATGTAAATTTAGTTGAAAAAGTATTAAAAAACCGAGGATCTAATGTATTTGTAAAATGGTTGGGTTTTGATAATTCACATAACAGTTGGATAAACGAATCTGCATTGTAATGTATTTGAGAAAGGTTAAAATAAAAATAAATTGAATTGTATGCATTTTTGTATTTATTTATCCTCTCTTTACAATAATTTATCATTTATGCATTGAGTATTTGACAGTAGATGAATAGCTTTATTTGATAATTGTTTGCAGTGAAATGTGACAAGTTCCAACAATAATATCTCTAAATTTAAAACATTAGTTCTTCCCATCACTTTTTGAAGTATTCTACTGTAATGTTTTTTAATAAAATCCGTGTCATGTTTTGTAGACTTTACATTATTTTTAAAGATTAATTCTGCAATAAACTTTACAATTATATCTTTACTATACTGCAAATTGAATTTTGATAGTTCTACATATTTTTGTTCAACACAAGGAATAAGTTCATTAAATATTGCAAATAATGTTTCACTAAATGTAAATGATTGATCTAAACGCTCAATTGATATTAAACGATATGTAACACTAAAACGTATTGTAAACGTATCACAATCGAGCACTGTTGCATCACAATCTCCGTTGAAAAATTGTATGATATTTTTTACTGCATCACACAATAGGCGCCATTCTTGAAGCTCCAAAGACAATGATACTCGTGGATGGCTGCTTCTTAGTTGAATTTTTGGTATTATATTTCCATTTATGTCTAGTTCTGCTCCAACGACAACTTGTTTTGTAAATGATGGATTCAAGTTGTGAATTTTTAATAATAACATTTCTCTGCATGGTAAATACGACATTTTTTTGTCAACTACTGGTCAACTTCCTCAGGAACAAACTCTATTTGATTGTAAGGTCCTCCACGATTTCTTAAATATACACCACCTCTGACAGCTTCTGCTGTCAGACTGTTAAAAAGATTTGCATCCTCTTCAAATATTTTTAGCATTCTTGGTGGTAGGAAAATGTTAAATTCATTATTTATTTCAGCAAGAATTTTCGGACCAAATTTCGTATCAATTTTTCGAATGTCTGTTACTTTATAGAATGCATCGATGGTTAACTCCTTTGTTGTTTTGGTGACCAAGACTTTGCTTGCTTTGTTTAATTTATCGAAATTCATTTTTATCACTTCAATTTAAATTTTCCAATTTTTTTATTAAAATATTTAACTGAGACCTTGCTTCAATACAACTTTTAACTTTATGTATTTCTTGAATTAATTTGTTTAAGCGCACTTGAATTTCACGACGTTGTTCTGCTAATATGTTCATTAACCAACTTAAACTGCAGGAATGATTTCGTTTATAAAAATTGCCCTCTTTATATACACGAGATATGACCTATTTGACCTTCAAGTTAATTATAGTTTTCTTGGAATTGCGTTAAGATCAAAAGCATTCTTATGAAAAGTACCGAAAATGTTTGTAAAAATTCCTTAGATAAGAATATAATAAACAGTGATTTTCAATATTTAGACGAGAATAATAATAATTCCAAAAATAAAATAAGTAAAAAACAAAAACAGGAAATACCAATGATAATGAGTCATCAATAAAAAAATTCAAAAACTCTGAGTTATCAACCCCTATTTTGCGAAAAACAAAGAAATTATGTGTCATCGTTAAAGAATGCACCCTGTAAAAAACAAAAACAGAAAATACTAATGATAATGAGTCATCAACCCCATTTTGCGAAAAACAAAGAAATTATGCGTCATCGTTAAAGAATGCACCCTGTAAAAAAACAAAAACAGAAAATACCAATGATAATGAGTCATCAACCCCATTTTGCGAAAACAAAGAAATTATGCGTCATCGTTAAAGTAACAATTCCAGGAATCACATTTGCGTCCCCCCTGAAAATTCTAGGAAGTGTAACGTCATTTCCGGTTTAGCATAACAGTCTGAATATTACCCCCCCAATGGTTTAAGTCTTGGCTAAGTGGTTTGAGTCTGGGCTAAAAGTGTCGGTAACATGTCGGTGCAGGAATCTCTAGATAGAACCCTCCCTGTATATCTACTAATTTTTCTTTTCATTTCTTCTTGTTTATTTATAACAATTAAAAAGTATGTACGAGACTACTGAAAATTGCTCGAGTGTTTATTTTGTATATTGCAAAAAAATAAAATCATCAAATTTTTACAGTAAAATTATTTTATGTCAATAAATACAATATATTTTTATGTTACAATGAATTTCTTAATTGTTTAAACAAATTATTGTTGTTTTTTGCCAACTTTTTACAGAATGCACCTAGAAAGTTGCAGTCTTTTTCTAATTTTGCAATTTACTAAACCCTTTATGATTACAGATAAAGAATAAAAAGTGAATTATTATTTAAACGATTTTTAAACAAATTATTATTGTTATTTACCAACTTTTTAAAGAATGCACCTAGAAAGTTGCAGTTTTTTCTTAAGAAAAAGAAAACCTTAATTTAAGAACACAACAATTATATGCAAGATTATTTCACTAATTGTGTTCATAATATGTAAATTACAAAGTAAAAACACTACAGATATTTTTCATCAGTTTATTATAACTTTTATTATATCTTTACTTATATTATACACTACCGGTCTAAATTGAGAGACCACCCATTTTCAGATAAATAAAAAACAGTTTAAAACATAAAATGTATGGAAACTAAATTTTTTTTCATTCTGTTTTTTGAATGATGTTAAAATTTTAAAAAGCGTAAGGTTTTTCAAAAGTCATATGGCCAATAAAAAAATATAGATATTTTTAAAAATTTGACCACCTGCATTTTCTAAGAAAAAAATTACACCTTAATGCCTATAAGTATTTCTCATTCTGTAGAAAATCACCTTTAAAATAAGCCTAAGATCATTAAAAGCGTTAATTATTTTAGAAGTTATTAAAACTTTTGTAAAACATTGAAAATGACGATTTTTAAAAATATCTAAATAAAATATTGGCCAAATGACTTCTGAAAGATCTTGTTCTCTTTAAAATTTTATCATCTTTTAAAACATTAAAAAGATTTAGTTCCCCTTTCCCTACATTATATGATTTAAAATGTTTTTCATTCACCTGAAAATGGATGGTCTTCAAATTTCGACCGGTGGTGTATATTATATTTTTATTACAGTTTTTTTATATTTAATATTGAAATAATATTAATATATATTACAAAACTAATTGTGTTCATAATATGTAAATTACAAAGTAAAAACACTACAGATTTTTTTCATTAGTTTATTATAACTTTTATTATCTTTTTACTTATATTACATTATAACATTAAAGATGTTTTTGTTCAGATTAAATTATTCTGTGATAAATGATTTATTACTATTATATTTATTAGCGAAATTAATATAATTTCGAAAATACTATACATGTTTTAATGTTCTTTGGATAAAGCTGAAATAAGCATCCAGTTTATTTTAAAAATATTAATGTTTTTGTTTTAAAAAAAATATTTACACCATTAAAATTTAATTCTCAAAGTTACAGATGCTAAAACTGTAATCCAATTATTATAGCACCTGTTTATTAACTTTCAGAGTTTAATTTTATACCTAAATATTCTTTTTAAAAAAAAACAACATAAATATTTTTTAAATAAAATCTGGGTGCTTGTTTAAGATTGATTAAAAAACTATTAAAACATGTAAAGTATTTCAGAAATTAGATATATTAATTTTAATATATATTTTACTTAAGCAAGTCAAACTCAAGAATTTTTTAACTGATTTCTTTATTATAAGTTTAATTGCTGAAAAAATAGATTATGTTTTAGTGACTTAGACGGGAAAGATGTTTATTTATTTATTGCAATTACTTACAAAAAGAAAACATTATTTTTATCACTAAAAAGTAGTATTTTACATAATTTTGAAAACCTTGCCTATATCCTCCTTATCCTTATTTTAATCACAAAACTTTTTTTCACTTCTGATCACTTATGATATTTTATATATTTTTTTTTATTGTTTTGTCTCTTTTTATCATCCCATATATTAAGAAAATTATTAAGAATGATGAAGAATATTTAAGAAAAAAACACGTGTTCTTCACTTTGTAATCTGTATATTCTGTAATACTCAGTAATATTCATCATGTCTTCATGTATAATACTCGCACTCGACCACGTGGAATAAATTTGAACCTTAAAACTGCGCGCGCACAAAAATTTTAAATTATTTCAGCCAATAGCGCCCGTCATCATCGTATTTCAACCAGTCGCGACCGTCATCACGTCATTTTCACAACTAATCACGACCGTCACTCTCAAACTCCAGCCAAAAAAATAGCTGTTTTTCTATTAAGGATTCTATTAAGGATAATAATTCAATTTTTATCTGCAATATGCATATAACATTCTTTAAATACAGTATTTGTATTAACACATAATTATATGGAAAATCTTTGATGAATTTTAATCGTTTTTGGAAAATAAAAATAAAAAAGCGTTTGGTCACCCCGGTGATCGCATCGGAGCCCGCGTTATAAAAAATCGTAGGTAGCGCGAAGGTTAATTATCAGCTTTTTACTTTTTTCTAATTATTAACAAAATTAAATAGAATAACAAATATATTGTCTGACTAATCCTGTCAATTACTACTAATAAAAAAATTCTATTTATTTTTCCATTTTTTTTTCTACTCTTATTTCTACTTTATTCTCTTTTCAGCTCTTTTACTTTTTATTTTTTTTATATTTGCAAACCAAATTAAACAAAATAACAATTTTGTCTAACAAAATCTGAGTTTACTACTAATACAAAAATATTTTGTTTTTTCATTTATTTCTATTAGGTACTATTTCTATTTTTCTTTATAATTTTCCTTTTTGTTGCTTTTTTATTTTTTATTTTACAACTTACAAAGAAAATTAAATAAAATAATGAAAAATTGTGTCTGACTAAATGTGTCTTTTACTACTAATTTTTAAAAATTATGTTTAGAATTCAAAATTTTTAGTTTCCTATCTGTATTCCTTTTTGTTTAAAACGATAAATTATGCAAGAAAAATTAATTTTGACCAAAAAAGTCGACAGTCTGATTTTAATAATACCTATAATATGACCTATATAAACCATGTCTGACTAAAATTATCTTTTACTACTAAAGAAAACACTTACAAGTAAACTTAATAATTTTATAAATATAAATGAAAAAAAGTTTATTTATATTATTTTAATTTTCGATAAAGATGAAAAATATTTAGCCGAAAAAGCAAAACTTTTTGTCAATAGAATTTTTTTTGCAATACGAAAGACAAATAAAAATATATGTTCCTGGGGAAAATTGGTTCTGCAAATATTCGCCATTTTTTTCTTTTTCAATGTATACAACCGGACGAATATAGTCGAGGGACTTCGGCACGAAGCACTTTACCAAGATAACTGCCTGCTACCCTACTCAAATATTTAGACGATCTGAACAAAGTATATGTTTAAGGGGATCTTCCAAGTGAAAGTGGTGTTACCAAGTGACCTTTATGGAAGTTCAGAACTATCATGAAAACAGAAGGCACTCTCTTTACCTCTCCTTTGAAATGTAACTCGGTAACGTCGCTATCGAGGGTATCTCTCTTTCTCCCTCTCTCGATCTCTCGTTCTCTCTTATCGAAAGATCAAAATATATATGTACACGTAAGACAGTATATCTCTATACGGACATATAGTTTTGCGGCTCTTCACTTTATGTTGGATAAGAGCAGGTAAAGTAACAGGCGTAAAAGTTAAAAATAGCTTTTAGAGTAGAATAGCAGTGAAGAAATGTTACAAAAAGAGAGTCTTCTATACAAAAAAAAGTAGGTGAGAAAATAGTCGTTAAGGAACTAATTTTTTTCAGTGAAAAACGTTTCCTTTTTTCCTAAATCACATTTACCAGAAGATATAAATAACAATTTTGAAAAATAAATTTACAGACCCTTGCCAAATGTCCGTATCCCAGGCATCTATGACATCTGTCCACTACAACTCTACTGCGAATCCTGCAGTTTATCCAGACTACCCTTACCTTACCGGCCTTGAGCAGAGCATCTGCATCTGCATCTGGTAGTTGAACAGCTGCCATCTTGACTACACCGTGCAGATTCAAGAGTCTGCAGGACATCTCTAGATCGGTCCTGTCCACAGCTTTTTTTAAAGCCTCCTCGACATCTTTAATTTCCGCTGTCTCGTCCAGATCACTAATTTCCAAAGATCTCTTTGTCACCAAGGGTGAAACACTCGCTTTTTCTTTAGGAGCTTCGGTCACTCTACTGCTAAACGTAAAGAAGTTCCGTCCCTTTTTTAAAACAAAAAGCAAATCCTGCTTTTTTGTTCTTCTTATGGACAGAACCTCTGTTTCTGTTTCCGCAGGATTGACGGTGGCAAAAAGTTCTTCTATAATTTTTTTTGAGGCACTTTTCCGTCTTCCATCCACACTTTGATGGCGTCGGTGTTCCTCTTCTTTTTTTTCAAAGCTACTTGGTTTTTCAATCGTCTGCTTCTTCTTGTCTTCCTTCCTTTTTTTCCTTTTATCCTTTTCTGAGACAACCTTAGCCCAACTTCCGTCGGGATTTTTTCCTTCTTCCCCTGTCGGGATGGCGGAAGGCTTTGCTTTCATCTGGGTTACCTCAGAAGCCAGCTTTTTTTACTGTCGGTCTTCCGGCGATGTTGATGCTCCTCTCTTCGTGCTCTTAGATAAGGGAGTCTTATGCTCTTTACTCCGGTTTGGTGTGCTCAAAGGTGTTTTAAATGTTGCTGTCTGATTCACACTTATCTCTCGGGATATGGATGTTTCCATTGTCTTCTGTACCCTATCCGTTGATGATTGGAGGGCAAGACCTCCACTTCTAACAGCAGCAAATATTTCTTTCGCCTCGGCCATGAAATCCCTCACCTCATTAGGTGTGTTTTTCCTGAATGAGTTCTCCATAGCCAAGAGGGTCTTTTACAGAGCTTCATTTTGAAGTCTCTGTTCCGCCATGATACCGAGCATGATCTTCCATACTTCGGTCCATGGCGGAACTGGCGGAACACCCTGTCTTGCAGAACACATCCCCTGACTTTGCTTCTCCTTTTCTAGCGTCACTGAATTAACATCAGTGTCGATCCTGAGAGACTCTGCTTCTCCAGTTTTTATTTCGTTTTCGGTATTTTTTAAACTTACGTTATCCATGTAATAGTTTTACCAGCGCATCGTCTGTGGAGGGGCGGGTCGGTATAGTTGGGAACGGGTGTACTCTCGGACGTATCCTACTCCAGTTCCCTGAGGCCCAACCACCGCTTAGCCAGTCCCGGAATACACGGACGGACCGGACTCACCCGGAGCAATATGGTTAATCTGACATCAGTATGATAATCAAAAAAGTTATAAACAAAAGTCAAAAAGTGGGCTGACTTCGACTATGTTCCCCTACTATATACTTTATATACATCAATCGATTCGTCTTGATACAAAGAATAAGATTTTTGATTTATTTTTCAATAAGTAATAACATTTTATTGTACAGCAACATGATTTTTAAGAAAAAATAAATTTTTATTAAAAGTGCAAATTTTTTGTCTATAATTGGTTTCAATTCTATAAATTTAAATACAATATATACTTTATATATACCAATCGATCCGTCTTGGTGCCAAGAATAAGATTTTAGAAATAAATGAGTAAGATTTTCTTATACAGCAACATAATTTTGCGGAAAGAACTCATTTTTTGTTAAAAATGCGAATTTTTTTATTATGATAAATACACACACACAAACATACATCCGGACAACTGTTCAGGGTCTTATATAACATAGTCCTATATAGAAGAAAATTTGTTAAAAGGATTTTTCAAAATTTTGTAAATTAAACGACTACAAAGCTTCCTCCACGAGGAAGCAAAAATATTAATATTTAAAAAAGTTACAAGGGTTTTTTTAAGTTTAAACTTTAACTTCTGTTTTCTCTAAAACTTGTTTTCGCACGCACGTAAGGTCCCTTTTTGTAGACCAGGTCACATATAGTAATGTGTTATATAAGACCCTGAACAAATGTCCGGATGCATGTATGTGTGTGTGGATCCCGTTTTTTATGAACACGATAACTCGAAGAGCTTTCAACGAATTTAGCTAAAAATTGCTAGGTATATTTGTCATAATACTATCTCGAAATAGATTGACAAACTTTGAAAAATCTTCAGAAAAAAAAATTTTTTTTCCGGATATTGAAGTTAATATATAATAAAATTATACCTATTACTATATAGTAAAATTTTATTCTTTTCATTCAGACGAACGAACTTGATTTTATAAATGTTAGATTTATAGAAAATTACTTAAAAATTAAATTCACTTGTCGTTAATGCTTCCTCCACGAGGAAGCAAATTGTTTTGATGATCGTAAAGAGGAATCAAAATATTCATGTAATGAACATGTGGATTCACAACTTGTTTATTACAATTTTGCAAAAAAGAACAAAAATATTGAAAAAACAAAAACAAAATTTTTTTTTACGATTAGAAAGTATATTTGGAGATTGAAATAATGAAACGGTGTAATTGAAGAAACGTGAATAAAAGAAAAGGGGTTTATTTTTCTTTCTTTTTTTGAAATTATGGAAACGAATCGCTAAAGTCTGTGAGTAAAAATTCATTGACGCTTTCGCGGTAGTATGGGATAATGGTGTATATAATGGAAGAAATCCTTTTTGGGGTGATAAGAATCGAGGACACGCGAACGATAATAAATTGTGTAATAATTTAACACTCCAATTAAATTCATTGCTTTGTGTATTTTCTGTCGACGATAAACATAATCTGCTCTTTTATTCTCTTTTAACTACCATACTATGTTTATTTTTGTATTAGGAGATTTCTTTTCTTATTTTTTCTTATGTTGAACTCTTTTTTCTCTTCTTATTAATCTCATTAATCATACAATATTGTATCAGGGAGTCAATTACATAATTTCCATTTTCACTTTCACTCCCACTTTGATAGTTTTCAGGGTTCCGTACACCGTACACAGAAAAAACTTGGACTCATTTTTGTTGCAACTCAAAATGAGTCCATGTTAAATGACATAGAACGTGGCGCCATCTGCCCTACTCATTTTTGTTGCAGCTCATAATGAGTCACTTTTCCGACTCATTTTGAGTTCAGTTTTTTTCTGTGTAGGTGTACTGACGGAACCCTTGTAAAATCACTTGTGTGTCGGTCCCAGACACTCAGAAAAGGTTGTCCCCCCCTTAACTTCTACATATCTCAACCTGGTGAGCTGAAATTCGGTACAGATACGTATTTTCACGTATAGATCACAGGAAAAATATAATGAACTCGATTGAAAGTCATGCACGGAGAAAAATTTTCTGTTAATGATTACAATAGTCGAACAGTACTGCTCGGATATGTGACCACTTTTCGTAATGCCTAAAGTAGCTTTGTTGTAACAATTCTGTAAGTCGAACGTACTCATTAAAAATTTATTTGAAATAAATACGAACTAAATATGAGTTAGCACAAAGTCTATGTGACTGATTACAATAGTCTACAGTCTGTAGTAGTCTTTACAACAGGACTATTGTAAAATAAAGTGACCGGCTGCCTTGCCTTCTTATTTTACTATTTTTCTTCGTAAAGACTACTATTGCTATATTTCTGACTACAAATTACTGTTGTAAAGTTAAAAAAGAAAATTTTCAACTAAAATAATTTTTTTTTGTAATTCATGACTTCTAATCATATATTGCACAATAATTTCACTCTTCCAAGACTCCCAACTACAAGATTAATTATACTATTAACCTAGACAATTTTACTAAACCCTAAGTACATAAATCTAACTTAAATACTAAACGCATAACATAATAACGATCGCTATTTACACATATATGACGGGTTCCACGTCAAGTGACCCAGGTCAAAAATTTACATGGAATATTTGAAAAATTTGTAGTTTCTTTAAAACAAAACGAAAATACGTTTTCTATTTTGGGTTTTTCTGCTGTTTTTCAACACTTTCTAATGGTGTAAACAAATGTAGAGAAAACAAATTTTTTGACCTTGAAAAATTAAATTAAAAAATAAAATTTAATTTTTTTATCAAATGGACAGTTTTTATTTTAAAAAAAAAAATTTTATCATAAAGGTGAGATTTTTTCCTAAAAAAATGTATAGGTCAAAACGTGGGACAAGAACTTTTAACTGGTCAAAATAAACATTTACTTCTGCAGTGCACCGACCCACAGTGGAATTTTTTTACAATTTACTATTAAAAAATGTCTACAGCTTACAATTTTTAACCGATTTGGGTGTTCTTTGTCTTAAATTAAAGGGGAATAAATTCTTAAGACATCCTTCGAGGACAATTTTGGGGATTTTAATTATTTATAATTTTTTTTTAATCAAAGTTAAAAAATTAATACACTTTTTTAAAAAGGACGTTTATTTTCTTATTCCGTTGCTGCACATGATCTAAATCAATTCAAATTCTTCCAATATGACATCCAGATAATTACTAAAGCATAAAATAATTTATTTCAATTGTTATAAACAATATACAGCCCAACAACGCGCAGGGGCGGTGGATTGCAGAAGTAAATGTTTATTTTGACTAGTTAAAAGTTCTTGTCCCACGTATTGACCTATACATTTTTTTTATGAAAAAACCTCACCTTTATGATAAAATTTTTTTTTAAAAAATAAAAACTGTCCATTTGATAAAAAAATGAAATTTTATTTTTTAATTTAATTTTTTAAGGTCAAAAAATTTTTTTTCTCTACATTTGTTTACACCATTAGAAAGCGTTGAAAAACAGCAAAAAAATCCAAAATAGAAAATGTATTTTCGTCTTGTTTTAAAGAAACTACAAATTTTTCAAATATTCCATGTAAGACCAAAAATTTAAACTTTGACCCTCTCCAGTTTTTATATTTGTTTAAATAAATTAATAATATTTGATATTTTTTATTGTATCTAATAGGACTACTGTTTGTGGAAACTTTTTACCTGATCCCAAACATTTCAAATTTGAACCTGAGTCACTTGACGTGGAACCCGTCATATTTATACATGACTTAAACTTCCTTATATACTAACTGCTATGAAAGTTCACCGCTTGCGAGAAAGACTTATACACTTTAAATGTAAAAAAATCACTTCGTTCTCAATAATTAATACAATTATTGTTCATTGTTAGTCTTTAATATTGTAAGGTCTATTTTTTATTACATTTCCATAGTGAAAATTTTTTTTCTAACACACGCACCGAAGGTACAAGATTTCTTGCCTGTATAAATTGTTATATAATTTACACAACTTACGTAAGTTACATAACTTACGCAAATTACGTAAATAACAAAAGTAAGTTACACAAATAAGTGAGTTATCTTACGTAAAATATAAGTTGCGTAAATAATGTATGATACGTAAAAATATAAGTTACGTAAATAACGTAAGTTGGACTTACGTAAATAACTTAAGTTACGTAATGGGCGAATTATTGTAAATTGTACTAATTAGGTAACTTACGTACTTTACGCAAGTCATGAATTACAAAAAAATTTTATTTTAGTTGAAAATTTTCTTTTTTAACTTTACAACAGTAATTTGTAATCAGAAATATAGCAATAGTAGTCT